CACTCTCAGTTCTCGTTGAACAGACTATAGTAGATTTTTATATACAGTTAGATTTTCTGCAGTTGATGGCTGCATAAGTAGCTTCCCTGTTTGTCATTTAAAAGTTAAGGTATACTTCCCACGGCCATCAAAGGTTAAAACTCAGTTTTCGTAAATGTTAAATTTTAATCATCGTCAACCAGCGATGTCTATGCATAACATTTCACTACGAAAAAATAATCAGATTTGAAGAAAAGGAGAAATCTTTGAACAGAAGAAAACAAAATTCTCTTTTGACTACAAAATGTAAAAAGTAATTTACGGGAGTATCTTTCTTTTCCGAAATCATTGATACTATTATCGAGTTAAAAAAAAATTGCAGTTTCAAAATTTTCGAAAGTTTTAAAACGTTCGATAAATGATTAGAAATTCCTTACTATGAATAAAAATAAGTAATATAAAAAAAAACAATTCCTACTTTGGTCAACAAAGAAACATTTTATTTCAGTTAATTTTTATTAAATAATTAAAAAAATTTCTCCCATATAAAACTAAAATTAATTCATTAAATTTAATGAATGAATTAATATTTGAATAAACTGTATTAGCATCCACTACAATATATATATTTGAACTCGAGTGGAAAGTATTTTATGAACTATTGAACAAAATATAGAGACAGTGTGAACTAATTGTAGGAATTGGAAAAAAATGGCCCTTGGTATCAGACTAAGGCTCCTATAATATCAGAGCTGACCTATCAAGCAAACAAAAATTCACAAGTTAACGTTATGTTAGTATTGTGCTTATGTTAGCTCTTTGGAGTAAAAATAGATGATAATTCAGGGGCTCTATATCAGACAACTATAAAAGTATAAATTTGGTGACGTAGACTGCACGTTTTCAATTGACGTAAGACTTCTATACTATCAGAGCTAGAGCCCCTGAATTAGACAGGCTGACTCATCATCCATTTTTGCTCCAAAGAGCTAGCATAAGCACAACACTAACATAACGTTAACTTGTGAACTTTTTTGCTCCAATATTGCTTGATAGGTCAGCTCTGATAGTATAGGAGCCTTAATCAGAGGTAAGGCTCCTATACTATCAATTCAAGGTCTAATTCAGGGGCTCTAATCAGAGCTGACCTATCAAGCAATATTGGAGCAAAAAAGTTCCCAAGTTAACGTTATGTTAGTATTGTACTTAGGTTAGCTCTTTGGAGAAAAAATAAATGATGAGTCGGCCTGTCTAATTCAGGGGCTCTAATCTGACGCAACGAACATAAAGTAAATAAATATTTAAATGTGTGCAATAAGCTATTTTTTTGTTCAAGTAGAGCTGTAAGTTAGAAATTACCACTGATGTTATCTTTAAAATAGGTAAAACACTGTGTTATGACTCAAGATTCTTTTGTTCTTAATGACTTTCTTTTCACTTTAAGAGCATCCATATTCTAAATGTAAATAATATTTAGTCAGTTTATTAACTAAATTCCCTTAATAAGCCCTCAGTTTCTACTTATTCTAAATATCGAGTTTTTTTTCGTTCTTAAACTTAATTCAAATCAAACATATAAACTGTACATAAAAGAAGACTTCGTAAAAAAAGATATAACAGAAGCAACCAAAATTCAAAATTAGTCGTACCTGTTTTATTCTTAACAAAGTAATATCTTGTTCGTAATTTTGACGTCTTCTAATTCACATCGGAGTACAATGTCTATGTCACGGACGCCACTTTGTTATGACTCGAGATTTTGTTCTAAATTACTTTATTTTACAATACAACACTTAGAATATTAAGACTATTTACAAAAGATATTATTTACATGTATGTTGGAAGCAAAATTGTACATCCTTAAGATGAATATCGTATAGAATTCTCTTAAACACAACGTATCGTAAGTTCTTTAACTTAATATTATAAACATAAATAGAACATAAAATATAATTGCCAGTTTCACAAACGCAAAAGATAATGTAATACAAAATAAAATAAAGAAAACATGACGGAATTGACAAACTTAATGTGAGTGGCAACACACTGAATCGCTTGTAGTAAAATGTAAAACCCTTGCTAAACCCATCAGAAAATTCCGTTTCTCGCTCATCCTTATTTAATGAATGAACTAATGTTTGAAAAAACCGTATTTGAACTTGAGAGTGGATGAATAAAAAGTATTTTATTAACGATTCGAACAAGATATAGGAAGAGTGTGAACTAATAGTAGGAATTGAAAAAATAAATAAAAAAGAGATTATACTTTTGATGGCTTCGTTGCTGTTCCTGAAGTCTTGGTGTGTGTTGGACTTGAAAGAGTTACTCCGAGAAAGTCTCTCACCTCTCAGCAATTTCAGAGAGTGACACCTTTTCAGTTTTCCTGAAACATCATCCTTCTTAATAATATTTCTCAATGTTAAGAATAATATTTTATAAAATCCAACAGATGGCGCTCTGCGCAGTAATGATTGTATTCAGTTTCCTCTATGAGAGGGGTTTCCAACTTACTTTCCAGTTTCCAACTTTCCTCTATGATAGGGGTTCTTTAATTGTGGCCAAGGAGCCACAATTAAAGACGGAAATCAAATGGCGGGCCGCAACTTTATCAAAACTTTATGTAGGACTCTTTTATGTTTGAAGGAACATTAAATATTACTGTCAGATTTTTACCAAGTTGTACAAAACAAAAGTATTGAATTACAAATTAAAATAAGAAGTAGATTTTTAAAAATATTTAATTGCATATTAAAAAATTCGGGCTACAATAACTTTAATGT